GGAAGAATTGGGTTGGGAGGGTCTTGAAAGTTCACAGAGCCATAGAATGGGCTGGGAGAGCCCTTGAAGGTCATAGAGGTAGAGAAGGGGTTGAGAGGTCCTTGAAGTACACAGAGCAATAAAAAAGGCGGGGCTAGAAGGGTCACTGAAGATCAAACAAGCACGGAATTAGAGTATGACTTGGGTTGGAAGGGTCCTTAAAGATGACAAAGCCATAGAATGAGTTGGGTTGGGAAGGTCCTTAAAGGTCATAGAATTATGGAGTTATTGGGTTGGAAGGGTCATTAAAGATCAAAAAAGCATGGAGTTACAGCATGACCTGGGTTGGAAGCATCCTTGCAGATCAGAGACCCACAGGATGGGTTGGGTTGGGTTAGAAAGAATCCCTCAGCCCCAGCCCTGCCATGGGCTGGCTGCCCCCCGGCTCAGGCTGCCCAGGATCCCACCCCACAGCCTCCATGGCTGGGGCACCCACAGCTCCGGGCAGCAGTGCTGGGGCTGCACCGCCTCTGGGTGAAGGATTTCCCCACGTCTGACCCCAAGCTGCCTTCTGTTGGGTTCAACCCACTCCCCCACGTCCCACTGCCCCCATCTGATCACCCAACAAGGTGATCCAGCCCCCACACCACGTACCAGCAACCGCGTCGTTAGGGCGTGGGGCGAAGGAAGATTTCCTACAAACAGAAGGAAAATGGCATCAGACAGCACCCTGACCCTGAGCAGATCGACCTTTCCCGCACACCCGTACCAACCGTTGAGGTCATATGGGATCAGGGATGCGTTCCCTCCCTCCTCTCGTTTCTTCACGGATAAATGCATGAGGCTCTTGCAGATGGGAGTCAGAGCGTTGGTGAACTGCACGGGGGTGATGAACTCCAGCAGGTACGGCCACAGCACCTGCGGGGGAGTGGGGGATGCAGAGCCCACAGCACGGCGGGACAGGAGGGGGGAGATGCCAGCTCCGGGGGTATTCAAATCCACAGCATCGTGGAATTGTTAAGGTTGGGTGAGACTTCTGAGGTCCCCAACCCCAACCCACCTCGCCACAGTCTTAAATAGACCTACAGTGTCATTAAGGTTGGAAGAGACCTGCAGGATCGTCCAGTCCAACCCCAACCCATCCCACCATGACCCTAAATAGACTCTTAGAGTCAATGAAGTCAGAAGAGACCTCCAAGATTCTCCAGCCCAACCCTCACCCAGCCCACCATGGCCCTCAACAGACCCATAAAGTCATCCAACTTGGGAGAAACCTCTCGAATCCCCAAGTCCAATGGTCAACTCACCCCACTGCGACCCTAAACAGAACCAGGGACTCAGTGAGGTTGGAGAAGACCACCAAGATCATCCAGTCCAACCCCAACCCAGCCCACCATGGCGCTAAGTAGAACCATACAGTCACTGATATTGGAAGAGACCTACAAGATTCTCAAGCCCAACTCATCTCCACCGTGACCCTAAATAGAACCACAGAGTCATTAAGGTCAGAAGAGAACTCCAAGATCATCCAATCCAACCCCAACTCACTCTACCACGACCGTAAAGGGACCCGTAGACTCACAAAAGTTGGAAATGACCTCCAAGATCCCCAACCCCACTCCAACCCATTCTACTCAACGTGTCCCCAAATGCCACACCTCCCCGGTTTGAACAACCCCAGGGACGATGACCCCCCCCCACCACTTCCCCGTTCCGGTTCCTAACAAAGCACTCAGTGGGGTTTTCTGCTTTAGTGGGGAAATATTAACGGCAGGTGGACGGTTGGGCTGGATGACCTTGGAGGTCCATTCCAGCCTCGGTGATTGCAGCGCTCAGAGGGGATGGGATGGTGACAACGGCTGTGACAGAGGAGGGGACATCCCCGCAGAGCACCGGGTGACACACTCACGTTGTTCATCCGATCGACGGTGGTGCTGAGGAGGAGGAGCGTGTTGACGCTGATGCTCCGCACGCTGTCGCTCGTGGGGTCATCCGCGTCTGGGAGCGGCTTCTGGGGCTGCGGGGAGGGAAAGTCATCAGAACCCCAAATTATGGATCAGAGAATCATAAAATCACTGAAGGGTTGGGTTGGAAGGGTCCTGAAAGATCAGAGAATCATGAAATTGCTGAGTGATTGGGTTGGAAGGGTCCTCTTAGATTAGAGAGTCAAAGAATTGC